GACCACTGAAGAGATTGTGTTCCTTGAGAAACTAGCTCCCTATTTCTCACCAACATGAGTAGTTTGGAGCGAAAATGTAATACAGAAAAGTTGCGCGGAAAAATGTCCATGGTGAATGAGCGGAAAAGGGATAGCTATATAGTAAACTGTATAGTAAACTATAGGGAACTATATATACAGTGAAAAATAAAAGTCCACACTTAGGCGGATTTTCGACTGGTAGAGGCGCCCAGTCTTATATTTTGCCTAGTAAATTGAGTTTCAGACGAAAAACCGACTAGATTATAAGCGCAATATCGGCTGAATGCGTTTTTAGCTGAAAAAATGGCTAGATGTGGACTTTTATTTTTTACTGTGTAGCTATCTCTTTTCATTTGACATTTTTCCGCGCAACTTTTCTGTATTAATTAAATCAATTTATAGTAACATTCAGCAAAAAGTTAAAGTCGGCGATCAAGAGTCAAATTTTGTTTCAATTAATAATGGAGTGTTGCAAGGTAGTAATTTCGGCCAAACTTTCTTCTCTCTTTACTTTAATGATACTCTCAATCCCAAGCAAAAATCCACACTGAATTGACGTTGCGTTAACGCATATCTGACACTGTTCCCACACGGTTTTGAACGTCAAACCGTGTGGCTATAGTATAATAGAATGTGAAGCCGTTTGACATCATTTTTGATTTCAAATAACCGTGTGGATGCAGTGTAAGTTTGTTCAGGTATCAAGAGTCGACACCAAAAATGGTTTCAAAATTCGCCATGATAACGGTCATACACTTCGGCGACATGGTTTTAAATTTAAAACAGTGTTGCGGATTTCCACACTGTCCAATACAAACATAAACTGCATCCACACGGTTATTTGACATCAAAAATGATGTCAAACGACTTCACACTCTACTATACTATAGCCACACGGTTTGACGTTCAACGTTACGTGAGAACAGTGTCAGATATGTGTAAACGCAACGTCGATTCAGTGTGAATTTTTACTTGGGAATGTGTTTGAAAATATGAAAGGCCATTTGTTCGCGGATGATTGTCAAGCACATATCGAAGTTGATTTTGATAAAATTGACGACGGTATCGATAAAATAAACTCTGACCTCGCCAAGTTGAATGATTTTCTTAAACGTCGCGGTATCATTATAAATAGTTTTAAGTCAAAAGTAATGATTATTGGTTCAAAGCACCAAACGGGTCGGTTGAATTTTGATATGATCAATGAAGTGAAAATAGGTGAAGAAAAAATTGAATTCTGCAAGTCAATAAAGAACCTTGGTGTTATTTTTGACGAAAACTTTACTTTCCAAGAACATGACAAGTGTAAATTGCAAAAGGTGTATGGTGTGTTGAATCGCATCCGTCACACTCGCGCATTTAGTTTCTCTGCAATTAACTTTTGGAATAGTATACCGGTCGAAATTAGAAATTTAAAATTTCGAGTCGCGTTTAAAAATAATCTAAGGCATCTGTTACGTTCTACGCAGTAAATTTTCTGACATTTTTCAAATTTTCCAAATCGCGAATTCTCGGATCATTGATATGAAATTTCCTATCCAATCTAGATTTTAGTTTGTGATTTTTCATTTGATTTTTCCCATTGATGTTAACGTACTTTAATTGTCAAAACTCATCATCATTGTATTTCCGCTGGTTCTCCAGAATCAGGCCGGTTTTGCCATGGTTTTCCGGACCCAATTCTGGTATGGAAGCTTCACTTTTATACAGTGATCGAAAAATGCTCACTCAGAGCATTTCATCACTCTTTTAAATGAGCAATGCATTGCTCGTGTGCTGTTGTGCACATACATGAATGTTCAAGAGCGAACCCTCGCTCACATCGTAGTAGCTGTGTGCGAGCAGCTACTCACTCACAACCAACTCAACCAGTCACTCAAGTCACTCACAACCACTCAATCATTCACTCAATGTTTTACACAAAGCAACTCACTTGTGTACATCGCAATTGGTATATAGGAGTATACTGTGTTACATTGAGCGTTGTGTATAAGAGCGCTCACTCAACCATATGACTTTGCGGCATTGAGTGAGAATGTACTCATACGATACTGCTGCTCAATACAAAGGAGTAAATACGAGACTCACTCAGAGCGCTCGGAGCAGAACGGGATCACTGCTTTTATATCATCCCTCCCCTGAGTGTAATCTCTTTGCAAAAGACGCACCATGGGCGGAATTTATGCCGTATTGGGTCTATGACCAGCATGTTCTGAGCTCGCTGTGAACACATATTGGCATCAATGTAGGCTTCGTAATAAATAAATCAAATAAAAAAAACTTCTTTCGAAGTAATTCCTCGTGACGAAAGCGAACATAAAACAGCTGATATCAATTTTAAAAAATCATTACGGTGCGATTCTGAAATTAGTTGGAAAAATGCAAAAAGAGCAAATCTAAATCGCTCCGAAATGATTTTTTAAAATTGATATCAGCTGTTTTATGTTCGCTTTCGTCACGAGAAATTACTTCGAAAGAAGTTTTTTTTATTTGATATCAGTTGTTTTGTACCCGAATTTTTTTTTTTCAACAAAACCAACTAACCCTAAACAAACACAAAGTGGTGTGCATTGAGCCAAAGAAAATAAAACATGAAATGTTGTAGTTAAAATACATAAATATATTGCCGGAATACCAAAAGACAGCCAATGACATCTCTAAACCAACTTATTGAATCATCGAATATTTCGGGCAACTTTTTTAAAATCGTGTGTGGCTTGAGTTGAATATAATCAACTTTACAACGACACTAGCAGCTTCTCTGCACGTGCACACATATCGTAGAAGAGAGTACAAAAATCATAGTATTTTGGCAAATGCATCGAGTAACCATTGCGAAACATCAATAAGTTTTGGCTAACGCGTAGTACCGGCCCACAGAGAAGCTGTTAGCGTCACCGTAAAGTTGATTATATTCTAGTAAAGCCATACACGTTTGAAAAAAGTTGCCGAAAAATTATTTTCGTTAAATAAAATTTGGTTTTTGGACAGACAGACGAAATTACATTTTGTTTTGATGAAATTACATATCGCTTTTATACTAAGAAACTATCACATGTTTAGTTTTTTCATGATGAATTTTTTTGATTTTGATTTTGATTTTGATTTTTTCATGAAAAGATTTTTGTGTTTTTTGTTGATTGCGTGGAATAAAAAGACTTTGTGAAGGACTGGTATCTGGAAGAATTTTATTTATCTGAACGCAAAATCACTTTGGTTTTAATTTTGCCCTTATTCACGGCAATAAAAATGAGTTTTAGTCGATTTTTGTCGATTTTTCATGTTTTTTTCAACTTCTAATGGCTATATCTCGAAACACAGAGTTTTGCCAGATATAAGCTATATGTCAAATTTTAGCTCTAACTTGGGGCTAAATTCCAGAGAATTTTGAAAAAAATCGTCGGAGCCGTTTTCGAGGAAATGGCCGATTTGTGCAAGGCCAGGTGACAATTTTTTTGATCTTCTGCCCATAAGACCATGCCCACTCAATTTTTTTAAATTAAAATAGATGTCATTTGATAGCTGGCCTCAATACCTTTGCAACGCTCTAGTTTTTGTTATACTTCAATGCCTGAAAGTTTAAAAAAGATCGGGCAAAAACTATGGACAGACGGACGGACGGACGGACGGACAGAAAAAATATTATCTCAGAATAATTGGTGGAGACGCCAAAGAAATTTTTTAAATCGTCATAACTCATGAACGGATGGTCCAATTTCGACGTTCTTGGGCTTGTTGGAAAGGTCTCGACGAGTAGACCCAGAAAAAACATGTTTCAAGATGAACCGGCCGCGTTCAACACCCGGTAAATGGGAAAAACTGATAATTGTACATAATTTTCAAGTGGCTATTTCTATGGAGGCGGTTGGTCGATTCCCAAGTTTGAATGCATTTTCTGGGCCTATGAGCCAGGGGCTTTGTAGCGATACTTCATTCATACCAGATGGCCTCTTAGGAAAAAAGTTCGAAATTGCGTGTATATATAGCGAGTTCGACTTTCAGCACAGAGGTGCTTTCGTCACTCGCGCCTGCTATCGCCGGCTGTGATAATAAATAAATAAATAAATAACATTTTCGCTCCAACCTACTCATATGATTCCCATGTAATTAAGCGCATTGGGCTAATCCCATTTTTATAATCAACAACACATATACATGTACACCGAAGGTCCTGCATCTAAGCGTCTGACAGCTTACTTCTAGCGCTACTAGACAAGTGTCAAAAGTTGTGACACAGATCGTTCAATGTATTATTGAATCTTTTTTATATTTGTTAATAAAGTAGACAAAAAAATAAAAATGTCACGAATGTGCAAAATTGATTTTTGTGAGAGCGTAGCACGTGATAAACATCAATTTTATAAGTAAAAAATGTTTCTTTCATTACGGAACATTGTTGATGTGTTCAATTTGTCGCGTTCATGAGTGCGTCTAACGACGTAAAGAATTGAAATGAACTTCACTGAATGCGCTCATCGCAAATTCGTGTTTTACTTTGTTTTGCTAGTGTGGTGTAGGGGTTGTGATGTACACACGATAAATAAAGTATCCGACTCTTTGACGTTTATAATAAATGCTGATATAAAGGTATCAATATGTAGTATGTATGATACTATGTGCAATACTGTGTGTGCACGTGTGAGTCTGATATATGTAATGAGTGCAATCAAAGACGATGTGTTGAGTGTGAGGTGCGACGACAGACTAACTGTCGTGTGTCTTTATTAACATATTCATGTCGCATATTACACTGAAAAACAAGCACGGTTCTGCCAACCAAAAACGTTTATAATAAATACACAACATTAACGACACATTGTGGCCTGTTTAATACATACACATGCACGCCTCACTTTTAGCATCGCGCGTCGATCGTGTGCACATAAATGGAGAGCATAGACGGTTAACTGGTTTGTTGAAACAATACACGCACACCGTTAGACGAAAGGCAAAAGAGAGCAAGAACATCAATGCTAGGGGGAGAGATCAAAGAAAATAGCATAGTGAATATGAACAAATGTGCCGAAAAACATTAAATAAAACTTCGCTCTTGTGAATTTGATCTTTTGCTCTAAATATTTATAGTTTGACAGACTACATACAAATGAACGTGTATACTGCAAATATGACAAATATATTTGCGGCGAATTTGCAAGTGATTTTCTGCTTGACCATCGCTTTTTTTGCAATAGGCGAAATCAACAAACTGTCAGATTTTCAAAACAATAAACTGTCATTTATTTTTCAGTCTTCTATTTTTTCAGTAAATAATGGATTTCTGGCCGAAATTTGAACATTTCCTTGGAAATCGCATACCAAAATTTTTAATAAGTTTGCTGAAAACAAATGGCTATGAAAACGCCTTTTCATTGAAATTGTTAAATTGTGAAACAGTTGATTACTTAGAAAAATATGGTTTAAATGACTCAGAATATTCAAAGATTCACGATAAACTATTGCCTGGCCATCGAACATCTTTACTTGCTTTGCCGGAGTTAGTGCAAGAATTCCAACTTTCCTGTTCATTTGACGAAGCCACAAAATCTAATTCAGAGGATTCGAGATATTCATTTATTCTGCAACAATTAATTAAAACGGCTGAGCAAAATGCAGACAAAGACCCCAAGCATCGCCGATTTCCAGAGGAAATTCAACAGTTTGCTATATTGCTATACATAATGTGTGGTAAGGCTGCATATGAAATTCTTTCATGTAATCTCCCTTTGCCGAAGGCCAACACAGTTTGTAAGTTGAAATGACATTTAATGCCAAAGTGCATAAAAGCAGACTGAATAATTTGATTGTCAACATTTTTAGTGAGCTATATCAACAGAAAAAAAGAATGAATTACTGAAGGGGAGCTTCGATGCAAAGAATTGGCTACATATTTGGATAAAGTAAAAGCACCAAAAACGGTATGGCTTGCTGAAGACTCTTCCGGTATTGTCCCGAAGGTCACTTATGATTCCGTGACAAACCAAATGGTTGGTTTGGTATTACCGATTGACCCAGAAACGGGAATTCCAATCAAATTTTTCTTCACTCCAAAATCGGCACAAGACATCGAAGAATATTTCAAATTTCCAAAATCGACATTAGTGCATATTATTATGGCACAGCCTCTCAAGCCTGGCACTCCTCCATTTATTTTACAAATTTTTGGAGTAGACAACAAGCACACGTCTCAGGATATTGCACGTCGTTGGGAATTCACCAAAAAAGAGCTTGCGAAGTACGAAAAATCGAAATAATTGATTCATGTGTCTATTGATTAAATAATCATTGATATTATAGATGTAACATCAACGTTGCCGGTATATCGACGGATTTGACGCACGCGCGCTTACATGCATGAAATACAATTTGATCAATATGTCTAAAAGTGAAGACCCATTATCAAGTGCTACGAATGAACAAGAAACATCTTACGTACAGGATCCATCACATTGTGTAACCAAAGCGAGAAACAGGAATTTGAAACCCTCAAGCATTCTTCCCATGGGATTAAAACAGGTGTCAGCTTCACATTTGAAAACTTTAATTTGGACGACTACTAAGGATGACCACGGGCTTGTGATGAGTGATATTTGTCCACTAGATAGACAGAATATTGAGTCTTTCGAAAAGGTAGCCGACAAACGCGTTTTAGATTGCTTGCAGAAATTTGTTATTGACTCAGAAGCTACAGTTATGTATTTGAAAGTGTTCAAAGAAGTTAACTCAGCATTTATGGAGGAGGATTTAGCACCATTAGATAGAGTTTACCGATTATGGCACGGCCTGTATTTTTTACGAGCATGGAGAAAGTGGATACAAGATTCGAAAATTTACTCACTCAAGGACAACTTCATCTCGTATAATTTGTTTCATAGCATCGAAATCAACGCATATGGGATGCTTCATTTAATAACGAAATTCCGAAATGCCAATCAGCCCGATCTATTCTTGCCAACTTTATTCAGTAGTCAAACGTGCGAAAGTACGTTTAGACAGATGCGCTCCATCAATCAACTGGACGCGGATAAATTTTTCACTTCAAGAGCTGCTTCACATCGTTCATAGAATTGAGTTGATGAATGATATAATTTATTACAGATTAGCTGAACACAATGTGACTTTTCCAAGGCTTCAACGTAAAAATTTAAATCAAAAAATTTATACTCTGCCTTCAAACGAAGATATTCAGAAGGTTTTAGATCAGGCGCGTACGGCTGCTCTATTGGATGCGGTCAAAATTGGTATGCCATCCAATATGCGTGGTATAAAAATATGTCCAATTCCTAAAACATCATTGCCATTGGCACAGATTATTAACGATGAACTTGATTACGACGAAGAAAATGAATTTAATGAAAAAATTCCAAGCTGTAATAGTCTTAAAGACTATTCCTCACCACAGACGCAGGAAAGTTTAGACGCAAATAGTAAATTTGTACAGGTATATAATGAGGACGGTTCATCTAAGATTGTCTTGAAATCTTCCATCATTTGGATTCTAACCGAGTCGAAGGATAAACTTAGTCAGGATAGACTGCGACGTGTACAAGGTGTAGACAGAAGTTCTATGACACAAAAACGGAATAATTGTGATCAAATTGCTTCACACGCGAAGAAACTGCGGCTTCAGGACTTATATGTATCAAAAGTAATTGAAATCGGAGAATGGTGTTTCTTTCGCCATGAGGAAAAAACCACATCTAATGAAAAAAAACCTTTTGACAAGATTATTTTTGGTTCAGCACTTTCATTTAAGTACAACGAAGGTAAAACAGAAAAAGAAAAACAATATACTCGCGATTTTGTTCCCGTGACATTTGAAAGTACAAAGCTACAACCAACCAAGCCTCGGGGTATAAGTATATCAGCAAAATGGTATAAATGTGATTCCGAACTAAAACTACAGCCCATGGATGAATGCAACTTTTTTGTCGATATTGAAAACTACATCGCTACAGCCGCAACGCCAGAAATAGTATCTATTGATTCAAAATCTTACAGGGTCGCCGGAAATATTATTGAACTGAAAGAAAAATTACTTGAGTTGATAAATTAATCGTTGCAAATAATGAAACCAAGAAAAAAAGCGGATAAATAAAGAATAATGACTTTGCAAAACCATTTATTTGAAAATAAATTATTTGGTAAACTAACACAGTCCTTATTCCAAGAATTTATTAAATAGAAATACGTTTCGAAATTTTATTGATGAAAATAGTATCTTTGTCATTTTAGCAAAAATATAAATAAGCCTTAAACCAAGCCGCTTTTCATCTGTTTGTTTTTTTTTTCATTTCCCGATACTTTCATTATTCATTTTTATCTTCTATCAAATTTTTCTTTCTTTTCTTGAATTTTTGTTACATTTTTTATCGATGCTTAGCTATTTGATTTAGATTTTTCTTTGTATTACATTTTGGGACTTCAAAAAATTTAATTTTCCCGAAAAAAGTGTCATTTAATGTCAGCTTTAATGTTTGACAGGTTTACTTAAAGTATTTATGGGTCAACGAAAGCTATGAGATCCCAACTTTTTTTATTTTTAAATTTCCGTGTATGCTTTTTTTACTTGAAAGATTTCACGTGGAATCATTTTTCTGTTGTTAAATTTTCCTTACGGTTTTTTATCGATGCTTAAAACTTTATGTCAGAAAATAGTTCTTTCTAGTTTGTAGGATATGGTTTTTTTTCTTTTGTAACTTTGAATAGCCTTATTTTTTGACAGAATTGATCAAGGTTAACATTTAAATAAAAGAGATAACATATTTTAAAAACACACACGAAAAAAACCTTCGAATTGTATAAAGAAATACGTCTAATATATGCCGTTAGTAGGTTTCCTTCCAATATTCCCATGTATTGACAGGAATCCTACCAAACAACACATATACGCACATACAGTCATTGGCGCATACACAAACGTCATAGATGAGTTGACGTTTGTGTATGCGCCAATGACTGTACATGCGTATGTGTTTTGTTTAGTAGGATTCCTGTCATTATATGGGAATTTTGGATGGAAATCTACTAACGTCATATTTTAGACGTATTTCTTTGTTTGATTCAAAGGTTTTTTTCGTGTGTGAAGGCTTAAATTTATAGAAGTGATTCTAGAGTATTCAAAGCGCGATGACAAGTATGAGATTACAGTCTTAATTGGCGAATTATAGGAGATCCAAAATGTGACAACTATAAGTTGTTCACATTCATCGACTTATTTTATTTTGAACTTTCTCGAACATATGTATCTCCTTTCACTATGTAAAATTTCTTCAGTTCACTGTTACCCTACATTTTTTGTTATTTTGATTCTGATTGACTGCCATACATAAAAGTATGAAAAACGAATGATATATATATCATTATAGCTAATTCAGTCCAGTTATTAGCTATTAACACCTTCAAAATTGCCACTGGTGTTTCGCACCGTAAAATAAAAACGAAAATATATACGTGATTGAAAATCTTGATAAACGTTGTAATGCTTAGTTGTCATTCATCGTTTTTTCGTCACAAAGCTTTTTGACGTATGCTTCCAACGCATCCAATCTGTTTTCTACGCCAGAGACACGAACAGATAATAGACCTGAAATGCAGTGATTTAAAATATATTCCATTTTTTCTATACTCCATGATTTTCTTACTTGTTATAAATTCCATCGTTCCTTCATCAATTTCCTTCCGGCCGAGAGTGGCAGAGTCCATGCACATGAGGAGGATAACACGAACCATCCGCTTATCGTATTCGGTATTGTTTTTTTTCTCGACACAAAGGTTCCAGTCTTTGAACGATTTTATGACGTTGTCTGGAATTTCAAACATCTTCCCATTGATTTTTTACACTCTGCCCGTTTTCTATACAATTGAGGAAATAGGGAATGATTAAAAATTATACTAGAATATTTATTTTTGTCAAAGACATACGGTTTCATTGAACGGCAAATTGCCTGAAACAACATACTTTTCACGTTTGACAAGCCCGTCTATGGTGCTTCTCATTGGTTGGATGACCTGTCCTCTTACCCGCGTGATTATCATATCACCTTCCTCTTCAATCAAAAGTTCGTCATCAGTTGGAGTTGCCAACAACTCCTGCAGCTCATCATCGTTATTTATCGGTTCGAACAATGGAACAGGTTCACCTTTTATGGGTACGTAGACATTGATGCCTTCTGTTTGTTGCACAGCCGTATTTGCTTCCTGTTCGGTGGACTGTTGTGACACATTCGATTCGTAAAGATTAACCTCTTGGACAGCATTGTTTTGTGCCACATCATTTTCACTTGTTGCAGCTCCATTGGAATCGACACCATTTGTCTGTTGCAAAGGCGTATTTGCCTCGTGTTCGGTGGACCGTTGTGACACATTCGATTCGGAAAGATTAACCTCTTGGACAGCATTGTTTTGTGCCACATCATTTTCACTTGTTGCAGCTCCATTGGAATCGACACCATTTGTCGGTTGCAAAGACGTATTTGCCTCGTGTTCGGTGGACCGTTGTGACACATTCGATTCGGAAAGATTAACCTCTTGGACAGCATTGTTCTGTGCCACATCATTTTCACTTGCTGCAACTTCATCTTGACTACCGTCAAAACGACGTTCAACGTTTTGTGATTCAGTATTGTGCACGGCTGAATCGATCTGTGATCGAACGTTTGCACCGGCATCAACTAGTCGCATGCTTTGTTCTGAATTTGGTTCAATTTGCTCTTCAGTATTGTTAGCAAAATCTTCTTGGAAGTCGTTATTTTCATTGTTTCCAAAAATGGAACTACCAGAACTGTGCAAAGGATCCATTCCATGATCTGCCATGTCGATTGCATCATCAACTTCAAGTTCGTCAGTTGCGTCTACTTCTGGTGCGATGTTTGGAATTGGTTTCTCGAAGAGGCGTCGTTCATTGTAAATAGGTGCTCCAATTTGTCTACGCTTTGCAGCGTAAGTCCCGGCATCATCATAATTTTCTGAAAAAAGGATTTTTCTAAATAAAATACTGCTGCTTGCAAATGGTTGAACACACGTTTTTTTAAACTTACGTTTTACTTTCAAAATATTTCCCAAATAGCAGCCTTCATCTGGAAATTCACCATCGATGTTCATGTGGAATTTCGGTTCAAAATTTTCGTTCGGACGTCCTTGAACCATGGCTTCATTCTCAGCAGAAAAGAAGAACAAAAATTTCTGAGCAGTGTTGATTCGATTGTTTAAGAAGTTTTCCATGTGATCATTTAGTCCACGAATCCATTTTTCGGGAAGAACAACATTTTTGCCCGACTTTGTGAAATGCACGACATACCACATTTTAACAGAATCAAATTTTTCACTGTATCACTGTTATTTTTTAAAAACTCTTTGCCTGATGTTTTATAATGTGAGATAATTAATCGATTTGAATTAGATCTTAACTTCAAACACTGTAAATCAAACGCGATGTTTTCAGAACAATTTTCTATAAGTATAGTTTGTTGGTGAACGTAATATTTGCTTTACACACGTGATTGAGAGAATGTTCTGGAATGTCATTTGACAGCTAGCATTTGGCGCTAAATTTGGCGAATTCAATTCATGGAACATAAATGAGCTCATTCAATTCTCTAACGTCAAGGATTGTTCAATTTGAGTACATTTTCTAAACTATCACTTAAAGGAATTTCTACGGTATCATTTGCACCAGCTTCAGTCGAGCTTTCCGCTGTCGAATTTATCAATTGGTCAATTTCTTTGGCATTTTTAGCATTCACGCCACGCACAATGCTAGGATTATTGTTTTTTTCTTGATGTTCACCAGATCCACTTGCCACTTGAAGATTATTGTCTGTTGACTGCTGTGTACTTCCACCGTTTCCGTGAATATTTTTCAAATGTTTTTCTAAATTAGACACTTGCCAATGTTTGTTGAATATACATGAAACTTTAAATTCACATTTACTACACTTCACAATACACTTCAACACTTCGACATTAGCTCTGTTGACAGAAGTTTCAAACGGTTCCAAATTTTCTATTGGCAAAATGAAATCACGGAGAGAAATCTTTTTTGCGTATCGCTCCAATTTCTTTTTCAATGCTTTCTTCAATTGTTCTTCTGAAAAATTAGCTATGTCATTATTATTTTGATTTCTTCCACTGTGTTCAGTTGGTACTGGGAGCCTAGCTGGAAGCGACAGTGAAATATAATCACTGACTAGGTTCGGCAAAGCTAACAGAGTGGCTCGATGTCCGGGCAAAAACGAAAATGTCTGGAAACTTCTTTTATATATTGGATCCTTCTGAAGAATATTTGCTAGCTGTTCTATTGCGAACGATTCAATCGAATTAATTTTTTCTTCGTCGAGTTCTGATATTGCAATAGCATTATCATATCCACACCGTTTCAATATCAAAATCAGAATTGGTGGCAATTTGTCGCCTAAAAATTTTTGGAATTTTTTCCAAAAATCGTTCTTCGGCTGCAAATAAATATAAATATTTAGTTCTAATCGTAGAAAAAAAAAATTCGATCATTCCTTTCACAAACTCACCATAATTTACATTTTACTGACAATTTGCAGTGAATGTTCGGTAAAACTATTTGGCGACGTTCTATATGCTATGTGCTGTCATATAATACACCGTCAGAGTTCTGCAGCGAATTGAGGATAAGGCAGACTTTATTATTTGTGAACACATCTATGTAGTTGTGTTGTCAAATTTGCCGGCTGTCGCGCAAATATCGCAAATATTCTACATAGAAATCAAATACAGTGAATATCTAAGTGAATATCAACAATGAATTTGGTGCAACATACGGACAAATATCGTGAATGTATTTCAAATATTGAAGTTAAGTGTAAATATGGAATACACTGTCTAAATATAATGAAACAAAAGTGGCATATACAAATAAATTGCAAATACAGATATTTGCCATTGGATCTTTCCCCCTAGCATCAATGTGGTACGGAAGGCATATAAGAAAGTGAGACATGAAGAGGACGGCGTTTTGTTTCAAATCCTCCTCAGGGTCGAAATTCGCTTGCTCGTCTTTCCATTGATGTGTCACGCATACTCACAAGCAAGAGTGATTCACGCGTATGTTTATACATGTTCATGTCAGCTGGCCGAATGAGTAAGCGAATCACAACCAAAATATTATGACAAAACTCAAAGTCGTTACACATTTTTTTAATTTCAATTTCCAAAATGCAAACATTTTTCAAAATGAATCGTCCAAAATAAATTTTTCTGAAATAAAATGTTACACATTAAATGATATTTTTCCATGTTTCAATTCTTGCAATCATTTGTTTATGACAACAAACGCGTCAAACATTCTCACACAAGTGAAACAATTCATCTCAATAACAGCATCGTCACTGCTGTGTTTGTGTGTAATTCTTTCAATGCGAAATTCAGATGTGTGCAGGCGAATCGTTCGTCAAAGCCAGTGCGCAATTCACTCAGAGTGTGTGTGTGTGTGTGTGCTGATACAAACACAGTTGAGAAGAACGAACGAAGGGCGTAAATGGAGAACAAGAATATGAAAAAAGAATGTGCCGCTGAAGTGTTTAAGCATTACGCATATGAGAAAGTGAGACGAAGAAATAGAACGACGTTTGATTGCCAGTGCTAACGTATTAATACACATAGAAGTGCAGCTATCGCTTCTCAGAGTCGAAACTCGCTTGCTACTGATTTGTCAGTGAATATCCTATGCAGCAGTTTAGTGAGTGAGTCCCAATGAACATAAATGTATTGAAACAAACGCAGGGATTCCAGCAACTGTCAAATGGTCGGAAACTTTAATATTTGATAGTACATGATGACCCATCATCACGAAATGAACAAAAAAATATTCTTAAAGTAAGTTCATATCATCATTCATCACTGTGCAGCTAGGCTGTCCTGCCATTCACCGATTTTAAAACAACATAGCTCGTTTTATTCGTTACACGTTGTAGAACATTTCATAGAAGAAACTTTTTTGAAAAAATGATTCTCCGCGATCAAAATGAAGAAAAAGAAAATAATCAATTGAAAGGTTTCACATTAAACGGGCAAGATGGCGACTTCGAATACATTTCAATACTTTCACACATTGCTGTTAGCCGAGAAGCATCTATGCGATACTTCTTACTCATAACGACACACGCTGAGCGTGTGTTTGTTCTTAAACGATTATTCACGGATTATTCAAAGACCATTGCAAATTTTATCATAAAAATCAAAGGGCTATCCGAAGGGTTGTAACAGTGATATGATCGGCACATGAGCACCATCTCTACTGATTGCCATTATTGCAATGTAAACGAATAGAATGTCTACTTCTTCTTCTTCCTTTTCTCAATATCAATTTCATGCTACTTATGGTAACTCTCCGTAATCATTAGAGGTGGCGCTACTTATGCGCATCAATTGACTTTTGCATTGGTTCTTATGTACTGTGCGTGCCTTTTGGGGCTAGCATATCCGCTAGGTTTTAGTCGGTTGATATTGAACCTAAAAAAAAGTTCTCAGTGCTTTCAGCGCTTCAAACTAAACCGTCATGAATCTGACTTTTTTCAAAACAAAATAATCCAAAACAATTTTTATAATAAAAAAAATGTAGAAAAAAGTTGTAAATTCAATTTCTCAACACACAGTTTATAAAAAATATTTTATTTGCATCAATAAAACTTAGGAAAACTACAATTATTTCACTGCAAACGATTCCCACTTGAAATTTGAAACAACAACACACTTGTCACTTGTCAATATGGCGAATGGGTGTTGTAACGGATTTTCGTTAGATGTCGCTGTTAGTTTCGAAGTTTCAAACTTCAAATGGGAATCGTTTGCAGTAGAATAATTGTTGTTTTTCTAAGTTTTATTGATGCAAATAATTTTTTTATAAACTGTGTGTTGAGAAATTGAATTTACAGTTTTAGTTTACCTTTTTTTTATTCGAAGATGTTTTTTTATTAAAAAAAAAGTCAGATTCATAACGGATTTGTTTGCGGCGATGGTAGCGATTCAAGCGGCATATGAACGCCACTAAAGCGGCCTTTTAAATTTTATGACAAATTTCATAGTTCATATTGCGAACGTATTTAAATCTAGTTACCGTTGTTGTGTAGAACTAATACCGTTCGTCGTGAGACAAATATATCAATGAATGGATGCAATAGTAAATGTCTGGATTGTCACATGAAAACGCGCCGTTTTCAAATTGGTATAGAAATTTAATTTTTATGTGCCGATTTGGAATCGGCATGTTTTTGTGTAACGTTTCAGAAAAATGCGCCGTTTTCAAATCGATACGTTTTTATGAATTGTCAAACAAAAACACACCGATTCACTCCAACATCACATACACTAAATTCCTTTGGTGCACACGTTGTTTTTTCATTCCATCTGAACAAACACAAAAGTAGTGTGTTGGGCTAAAGCTGCTTTCGAAAATGATTATTCGTTTGTTGTGTGACGTTTCGATCTTATTAGGAGCATCATCAGGCTGGAGAACAAAAATGTACACACAAAAATGAGTAAGTGTTGAAACAATTGGCAACAGCCGAAAATAACCAAATTACGAACCAGTTACATCTGAATTTAAAATGTTTTCGAACGTATTCCATTTTTTTCTATCGATTTCCACAAATTGTATCAGCTACACGTGTCCATCAGAGGAATTTTGTTATTGAGCTTCATTTAGTGTCTGAATATGATTACACTATGCAACAACAAGAAACAACCACAGAGAAGGGAACTTATTTACGAAGTTTTTTGGGCCCACTTTATCCAAATCTGGCGTTAGTTTTTCCTGGCACGTCTAGTTTTTAAGATATCAGATTTGGATTGAGTGAGCCAAAAAAAACCTTGGAAATGATTCTCCTCTTTTTGGGAAAATTTCGTTTTCGAAATTTGTTGCATAGTGTTAGTAGACCTCAATTCATAAATTCCATAAGTGAAAAATACCACAATTCATCAATTATTGAATGCATGGCACGTGTCAGCTATTAGTAGATGAATGGTTTAAAAGAGGCAGCACCGCACGGGGAAGACAAAACGAATTCAAACGATCTTCTAAAGGATTACAAGACGGTTCTCTACTATCATTGTGCAACAGATTAAAACTCTGTTTGGTTGGCAAATTAAAATGAATCTACTACACGGTTTGTTTTCGGTGCTATTTATCATTGAATTTTCTGTAAGTTTTTTTCTATTACTTTATTATTTTCACTTTTATCCAATAAAATACGATATTTCTGTAAAAATGAAAATAAAAACGAAATTTCTTTTTCTAGGAACTTCAAGGAAAATGTAAGATATTTTTAGATTTCGAATTAGCTTTTTATGAATCCAAAAATTTTTTTCAGACTTTTACCATATTCAATTCCAAATTTCAACTTTTTTTCTAATGAACAGATGGCTTTTTCTCGCAAGCTCTTCTTAAGGGCGAAGTGATTGAAAACATGTCACAGGCAAAGTTTGTAGCTGGAATCCATATCCCCGCAAGTAAGTCTGCTTTAGAATCATTTTAATTTTTTTGTGTGTGAATTTTTGTCCGAAAAATTCAAATATTCTATCAATTTTGCTAGGGGCTCACCACGTTTCAGAAAATTGAAAATAATACTAGATTTTATATTTTTTTTCGAAAAATATATTATTTACAACTGTGAAATTTTTTCGAACTTTCTCCAGAAACGATTCTCTGCAAATGATAACTCTCAATTGTGCGTTGTTATCAAAGAGAATATGCATTTCTGTCGTTTTACCATCCGGCATATACAACAGTGGGCACAACTACCATTTGGTTTGACGTTTTGCTATTAAGTTAGTTTGAGTAACTTAAAAGTATGTTAAGTAACAGTAAAGCCGCTGAGCTTCACATCAAGTCTACTGTTAAGTAGAATTACCACTTATATTGAACGGAAAAATATTGAACCAAGTAGTTAGTACCATAATGATTTCTACAAAACTCAATAGATGTCGTTAGGGTCTTGCATGGGCCCTACGCGTTTTACTGTCAGAAAATTCATCACATTGTGGTGGTTAAATGTATCGTTCATTGTGGATTATAGATTTAGTCAAATATTTGAGTCAACATACAGATGGTATTAAAACTGAATGATAGTGTTGCGAGCACACACTTCATACTTACATTTTCACTGGCGAAATCTTTCTCTCTTCCTATAAAAACTTATAAGCTATTTTTACTGTAAAGGAAAAGCACTTAGTTCTAGGTAGGAATAAAAAGGTGGTAGGTTTTTCACTATTAATTTCGTTCTTTATTTTCCGACTTTATGGGAAAAGCCGCTATGGCATAAAAACCCATGCTCCATGCTCATATGAAATGCGCGCTCGCTCTGAGCACAACCTCTCGCTCTCGTGGACTGTCGTCGACTCAATTCAATCCGTTCCACTCAACAAGCGCAAAGCACTAAGATTCGCGCACATACATACACAAATCAAACACCGAACATACCGCGCTGGCTCTGTTCGGTACACTCCCCGATGTAAATTTGCATCAAATTTACATTAATCATTTTGTTTGCCGCACACTAGGCTGTTATGTTTCGTGTTGCACCGTTTACAAACGCCCTGTTTGCAGTCAGCGGTTTTATGTGATGGAGAGAAACAATTTCCGCACAATTTGTTGCGTTTCAGCACAGAAACCTTCTCAGACAATTTCGATGCCTTAAACATCTCGCACCGGTGGAGAAAATGGTCTTTATGGCAATAGGGGCAAACCGCTTTCTTCTTTTTCGCTTGAGGCAATGCACTGGCTCCTGGACTTGATGTAGACGGCGATGCCTCCCCACGAATTCGTCGTTCCTGTCTCTGACGAGCCACAGCTTCTAGATGATTTTGCGCTGCTTTTAGCATGCTCGAACGTTTTAACAGGAAATTCATCATGTCATCCAAGGTTGGCTCCGTTTGTTCTAATTGAAACAACCAAATTTGACGGCTCATTTCGTCCATGCGATTTTGCACCAATGCCATGAGCATCTTCTGAACTTGCGCCGTAGACAAATGCATTTGTGCTGCCTGCACCTGCACTTCAGTGATTGTGTGAAGCACACGATCCAGTAAAGCCGCATTTGGTTCCACCAATTGAGGCAAATCAAAAAACGGACGCACCAGTTGCTCGTATTGGATATATGGCAAACTATTGATGTCTGCCCAAGTACTATCCTCGTCCCAATCGGCGCAATCCAGCCCAACTGCAGCAACAAGCACCTTACGTTGCTTTGGCACCGCTCCAGTCGATTCTCCCGTAGCACCCGGCAACTCACTTTCAGCCGGCGTTTTGCTATCGAATGCACTTGTTTCCATCGTCGGAATTTCACCACCAACTGCGCCTTCGTTATTTTCACGCAATGGCTGCTGGCTGGCTGGTTGGCGAATGATTAACAAATCACTGTCAATCTGCACGAAATTGCCTTCGCCTATCGGTACATTTTGCACTGACGCACTTTGCACTTGTTCGATGGTGGCAGAATTTTCTTCCTGCTCCGTTTCCATTTGCTCTTCGCTGAGCGATGGTTGTTCATTGATTGGCGCTGGCACCAATCTTTCCGCAATTTGGCCGATAATCTCTAAGCCTGCCCCATGGAAAATTCGTTGTGCGCCAACATAATTACCGAAATTGTCCGGCAATTCTTTTTCCTCCTCGTCTAACAGACGATGGTCTTCAAAAAAGGACCAATACGCTTGGTTGAGTTGATCAAGAAGCACTTCTGGTAGTTCTTCACCATTGTCGAGGCGCAATCTGCGCAGCATCTCCTCTACTTCATTGATAAATTTTTGGCTCATCTTTTTGGAAAAAACAAACAAAAAGAATCAGACACAATACGAAAATCCGTGCACTTGCTCTCCCCTTTTTCTTTACACAAAAGTCAATAATTTCACCATAAATGGTAAATGCACTAACACGGGATTTTTTTTGCTCAAATGTTTGTAAAACAAAACCAAAAAATTCGTCTTTTAATTTATTTTCAGAAACACAATGCACAAATTTAATTGATTCCTTTCTTCTCGAATCGCACTGATTAATTAAATTCTCCACAAATCTCGAATTTGCTTTTCTTTTCCGTACAAAAATAGTCCGTCAAAAATAATAAGGTACGTTTTTAAGGCACAACTAATCACGGTGAAATACTGAAACAGAATGCTGTCGCAAGATCGTTCTGCAGCTACTTTCACTTTCGCTGGCACATTGCGCTCTACAATTTGTCATCATCGATATTCTATCGAATTGCTCTATCCTTGTCTCACAAATGAAGATTCCTGCACAGTCCGATCATCATGCGCTTGGCGACAAACATCGTCTCGCTCAACCACTTATACGCTCTGTGCGGTGCGGTTCTTCTAAGAATCAGAATTCTCGAGCACAACTCAGCACAACGGTTTCTGTCAAAGCAATAAAATGCGTGACAAATGGCCTGCTTTGATTGTTGCAACCCGACACCAAACGGATTTTTTGGCTGTGCTGCTGCTTCACTATACGAATTCTCTGCTCGAGATTTCGGTTAACAGCATACTAGAATACAATGTATGCGTTGTTTCGCACTGTAACGACGGTCACACGCTCTGAGTGTGCACAATCGTGTTTATTTTGTTTCCCGAACCAAACATTTTTCTTCGAATTGTTTCTGCTCTCAGCTAAGTAATCAAACCGATTCGTTTTGGACTTTCTGTATACACACTGGTTCATGTTTTTTCTTGTTCAGCACTTTTACTGCTCTTGCTCAAAACAGACACGGTTTGATTTCATGAAATCAATGCCCGTGATTGATTTATAGAATTTCATAATTCCAGCATTCAAATGCTCAACTGGAATTTCATGCGCTGGTTCAACTGGCAACAGCCGAATTTTTTGAACCGGTCTTACCAATGTTTTTTGTTTATCGTCTTTCGACGGCAACAGCAAAACAACGGATCGCACTAATCCGTCTTTACTCTGAATCAGCTCTTTGATTCGACCGAATTGCCATTGCGCTGGCGATAAATTTTCATCTTTTATGAGCACGAGTTGCCCCGTTTTGAATGACTGTTCTCTGAGCCATACTTTTCTCGGCAGCAACGTAGACAAATAATCAGCTTGCCAGCTTTTCCAAAATGCTTGCAGCATTTGTTGTTGCTCTTCACGCACTCTTTTTAACGAATAATCTGATTTTGCCGGTGCTGCAATTGGCGGTGGCAAAACAAATGATTCGCCAATAAGAAAATGGCCAGGCGTTATTGCCTGCGTATCGCTCGGATCATCGCTCAGCGCGTAGAGCGGGCGCGAATTGAGCACAGCCTCAATTTGCACCAAAAACGTGATTAATTGCTCGTAAGTGTAGCTCTTGGCACCTATAACACGTTTCAAATGATATTTTGCCGATTTGACGGCCGCCTCATATATTCCTCCTTGATGCGGCGCCGCTGGTTTCATGAAAACCCATTGCGTGCCTTTCTTATTCACATGCTCCATTACTTCTGGAGAAGTCCAGTTACGGAATGCACATTTAATTTCCTTCATAGCACCAACAAAAGAAGTTCCGTTGTCGCTAAACAATTTGTTGCAATGCCCTCGCCTCGCTATGAACCGATCGAAGCACGCAATAAAAGCGGCCGCAGACAAATCTGTGACTGCATCGATATGAATTGCTCTGGTCACCATGCATACAAAAATGGCTATCCAGCACTTCCTCTTATTGGACCGACTTTTGTATCTTTCCAAAAGTTCGAACGGACCAGCATAATCGACACCAGTTATTAAAAACGGACGATTCTGCCTCACGCGATCAGCTGGCAGCTCTGCCATTAGTTGAGTCTCAAAATGCTTAGCATACCGGATGCATGTTATGCAATTGCTTAAGTATGAGCGCAGCTCCAGCCTCAAACGCGGGATCCAAAAATTCGCACGAATATATTGGAGCATCAGTTGTATGGAGCCATGCTTCGTTGCACTGTGCGCTTCCCATGCAATGAGATAACTCAAGCGAGATTTTGACGGAATGATTACTGGATGTTTTGCATCATATGGTAAATCCGAACCGCCTAATCGACCACCGGCACGGATAATTCCATCTTTATCCATAAATGGGCGCAAATTTAACAAATGGCTCTTAGCTGGAAATTCTTCTCTATCTTCATCGGCGTTACTTCCCTTGTAATGCTCATATTCCAAAGGAAACGAACGCATTTGCTCTTCTTGAATGAAGAATTGGAGCGCGGCTCTGCGCTCTTCTTCCGTTGTTAGTGATATGAAATTGCAATAATTTCCAGTCAACTTCTTCAGGTCTACTATTTGCTTATGCTTAATCCGATTTTTATCCTTGCAAAATCGGACAAAACGCATCGCGTAAGCAAGAATGCGCGTCAACTTATTCAAGTTATTTGAATAATCAATTAACGGCACTCTCTCCTTCATTATAGGCACATATATTTCCAATTTCTTGCTTCGCACTGAAACAGCATTTGATCTCAAAACCTTAACTTCCGCTTGCACATCAGCAGATGGTTTAACCGAATGAATTTTCAACGGCTCTGGCCATTCGGCTTGCGGCTTAGAAAGCCACGATGGCCCATGCCACCACAAATCATTCTTTACAAGGCCGCTTGGTGGCACTCCTCGACTAATTAGATCAGCCGGATTATCACTAGTTCGCACATGAAACCAATCATTTATCGTACTGACTTCGTGAATCTTTTTCACTCGATTCGCAACAAATACTTTTAGCTCGTGTACCAGTTTGCTTATCCATTGAAGCGCTGTGCTACTATCTGTCCACAAACGAAACGGTACATTTTGCAATTCCATTGCCTCTCTTACAATTGCAAAGTAACGGCTTAATAGCTCAGCCGCCGACAATTCCAACCTTGGAATTGATACTCCCGTTGGTTGCTCTTTCCCTTTCGGAGTTTTCTCTGCTTTAAGCTGTGGTGCAATTTTCGATTTAGAGGCAATCAAATTGCATTGAATCTCCCCGGTCAATTTCTCTATTCTCAAATAAAGACTACACCCATAGCATTTGCTCGAAGCATCGGCGAAGCCATGCAATTGCACATTTACATCGCTACTCATTCCAAACCAACGCGGAATTTGGATTTTCTCCAAATGCAATATTTGGTTCCAAATTGTATTCCATTCACAAACATATTCTAATGGAACTGGCTCATCCCATCCCATTTTCAAATTCCACAAATCACGCATTAGCAATTTTGTTAGCGTAATTACCGGTGCGATAAATCCATTAGGATCATACAAACGACCAATTTTGCTCAAAATTGATCTCTTTGTTAGCTCTTTGGTCATCTCGGGCTCACGTACTTCATACGTAATTGCATCAGTTGTTTTGGTTTATTTCAGCCCGAGCACTGCTGTTTCGTTATACTCATCAAACGAAACCGACGCATGCTCGCCTTCGAGTTCTTTGACCAAACATTCGCTATTGGAGCGCCATTTGCACAGAGGAAAACCGGATTTTTCCAACACCAATCTCATTTCTTTTGCTAATTTTATAGCACTTTTTTCATCGCTCGCACCGGTGGTACAGTCATCCATATAGAAATCATTCCGAATGGCATGTACTGCTTCCGGAAATTCATTTCCCAATGCTGCTGCACCTTCCAACATTGCTCTTATTGCCAAATATGGAGAAGATGATAGCCCAAAAGTGACCACCACCAACCAATATTCCTTGAGTGGATCGGTGGGGCTCTCTCGCCAAAATATACGCTGTAAATTCCATTGTTTCCGATTCACTTTCACTTGTAAATACATTGATTTAATATCTGCACTTATGGTAATTCGATGCCGACGGAAACGCATTATTGTCTCTTGTAAATCTCGTTGCAATTTCGGCCCAACGAATTGCGCATCATTTAACGATATGCCCTTATCGGTTAGACAGCTAGCATCATAAACGATCCGAAATTTACCTGACGTGCGCACTGCATGATGAGGTATATAATAAACCATTTCATCCGGCTCTGGAGGAACATTTACTTCTACAATATAACCCTTCGCTATATTATCCCGAATTCGCTCGATATAGTCACTTCGGAAACGACGAAGTGCTGCTGCTCTGGAGCTACCGAGCTCTTGTATCGTAGGCTTGATTGGAATTGATACAGTGTGTCCAGGGCCGTAGCCAGGATTTTTCCTAGGAAAGTGTGGTTCCACTTTACCAAGTGATAACTTGCCCCGAAAAAACAACTATTTTGAAAAAAAAAGTGGGCTGGCTTTTGGACATTTTTCAAGTTATTGGTCAAAAACCTCGAAAATTCGCGAAAAATCGAAATTTCAAAAAGTGGTCCGATTTGGATGAAAATTGGTACACAATATAAGTGGGGCAATAGAAGAATTTTGGCATTTAAACTGGTCCAAAAAACTGATCCGAACTGGTCCGAAATTGTAAAAA